CATCAGCAACCACGATCATTGACTTAAATGGTCATGCTATCGCTCTGCAAAAATCTGTGAACATGCACAGAACAAGTCATAGAACTAAGTGGATGATGACAGGTGTTGTGAAGATGGCTCTTGGAAGCTATTAAACTATTTGAGGAAAACTAGGTGTTGAATTAAGGCAGAATTAATCTTTTGTCTTTTCGGAATTCAGCTTTCAAATATTCAGAAGAGAAGTGCTTGGAAGTGTTACCACAAAAGCTTACTTTCAGAAGAAGCACTGCAGAAGATGAGTTATAGAGAAAAGTAACATCAGTGTAATAGCTTCAATTTGTTTTAAGCTTTAGATCCATTCCTAAGCATTTTTAAAACTTATTTCTTCTATATTTCTTCTAGATAGCAAAAGCTCTTTTTATCATTTAGTTTTGCTTCTCTAAAGGAATACCTGCTGAAGTAATCCAGAGATGAGAAGAGATTTTCAGACCATTTTAGTAAAAGTTTCTCACATTGTGTCTTCTGAGCTTTTTGGTCTTTCAGTGTGTAAGTAAATTTCTACCAGCATCCTGAGATGTAAGTTATAATACTCTTTTCCACAGCAGGCTTTTAAAACTTAGCTTGTTTTTATACGACTTTAGAGCTGCTAGTCCTAAAGAAAATGTAGAAAGTGGTTCACTTTCACAAATTAAGCCAGTGAAATTCATTGCAACACACAAGTTTATTGAACCATGTAGTATACAGAGAATGCAGAGTCTGATTCAAAACCCGTATTTGAGAAAATTGTCCCTGCACTTAAGACAGTATTCAATATATAGACTTCATTGCATAACTAAGGTGAATACAAATGACATTTCCATACATCACATTTACCATTACAGGGTCAACATTTTCAGAGCTTTTTTTTTTCCTTGAGGTGGATGGAGTGTGTCTGCCTGCATGTGGGCAGACGTGCTTGCTGCAGCCAGCAGAAGCAGGTGGCGTTCTCCCACCAGCCACACGTTTGTTTGGGATGAGTAGCGGAGTGACTAACCGCCCACCAGCCTTCCTCTTCAGATGGGCTGGGAGCCACCTGGCCCTTCTCCAAAAGTCTGTACTGATTCAGCACATCTTTGCAGCCGCCAGAAGCATCCCCCTGCAGTAGCGTAGGCTAGTGAGTACATGGCTAACTCTGCCTCTCCTTCTTACTTACTCCTTTTTACCCATCAAGGTCAAAATCTTGGTGCTCACACTGCTCCTGTGGCCTAGACCAACTACATGGCAACAATCTGAGATAAAAACTATGGTTGATAGTCTCCTTTGTCACAGTAAGCGTTCTCACATGCTTGTAGGAGAGAGAGCTCACTTGGCTGTGTCTACACCGCTTTGACAAAGACACTGCCTCAGAAGGGCAAGAGCTCGAGGGCCTTTCCTCTGCCTGAGTTATGCTGTCTGTGGAGTCTCTTGGCTCTCTCCAAACACAGAAAAAAAAGAACTTGTAGGTGATGCGAAGTTTGGAGGCTTTCTTGGCTATAGTGAAGAACTAATCTAATGTGTTAGTATAGGCCTATATTTGGGAGACAAGTCCCAGGTTATGTTGAATTCCCACATTAGCGGAGGACCTTGATAAACTTCTACAAATATTTGCTGCAAGAGGAAGTCTTGTTCTTTTTTTGTCTTCTTGCTTGAACACACTTAAAACTCAAAACTGAGTCAGGGAGGCCAATACAAGTGAGCAAAACAAAATGTTCTCTTTTAAGGCATTTTCCAGGAAGGAGCCAGAAACCATGCAAAATGCCCTTCTCCTGGTGAGGTATTTCTCATCTTCAGTTTTATTCAAAGATTATACAGAACCTTGCTCCAGCAAGCTGTATTTCTGGAGTTAAGCCCAAGTTATCACCAAGGACTCAAAAGTGATTATTCATTTTCCTCAACATGCTACTAGAAGATGCTCAGATGTCTTGGTGGTATAAGGATACTGTCTTAACAAGCTATTTCATTTTTAAAGCTGATTTCTCAGGTATACACTGGTGGGAAGGTAGCAGCAAGTTCATGCTCCCCGTGTACTTACACCTTGAGTAGATGAACTTACACCTGAGTTCTCTGAATGCCTTTGAATTTGAGCCCACGATAGAATCCTTGCTCTTTTTTTTCCACTGCATATGCTAGAACTGCATGTAGGAAAGAATGTCATTTTCTTGTTTTTGCCTGCTCTGTGTGTCTCAGTGGGGTATTCATTTGAAATCTACTGAACTATCTGTGCGGTTGAAATTTCAGGGGCTTGCATTAACAGTAGAGGAGCAGGTTCAGCACTGATGTAAACCAAATGAAGTTCATTTCCATTGCCCTAATTTAAGAGTGGCATGATCTTGCAGCGTCCATCCTCTCCCTGCATTAGCACTGTGTGTTGCTTTAAATAAGCCTTTCACTTACCTGGAACAACTCCAGGGGTTCTTTGAACTATGAACTAACAACAATTTTGCTTGCTAAGTTGAACAAGTATGTTTTTGTTACATGGTAAGAAGTTTATGCAGGCTCCCTAAGAAGAAAAAGGCCGCCTTTTTAACAGAACTATCAAGGAGTGCAGGCTCTGCTGAGATGCACATGCCACTTTTTTTTTTTTTACTGAGCTTTGTGTTTCTGTGGTTTTGACGTATCACTGGAGGAGTGAGTCTTTTGAGTCCCCATGGCTGTTCCCACCTCACCCACGTACACACATTTCTTTCAGTTTCTGTCTTGAACCCTTGTGTTGGAGTGACCACGTGTTTATTTTTAAGGACTTAATTTTCTCAAAATATTTAAACTGTGCTGTTTGTTTTGCGCTCATACACCATGTGGAGCTCCAATACCAAATCTTACTTGTCAAAATGTGATGAATATTTTAAAACAATAAAACCAATGCTGGTATTACGGGATCTATGTTGTTACTGTGCAACTAGTAAATCTTCAGTTCCACATATTTAGCGTGTTAATTTTTTGCACATCTTTCTGTCAAACAACGGATGGAGCAGTGCAGCAGTCCCATCGGGGTGTGCAGCAGCAGTGCCAGTCCTTGCGCTCTCCTGGCTGCAGTGGTGATGCTGGGTGTTCTTTGTAGTTATGGGCTTGTGGGCAAGAAATGAAACTGCAGAACAAGTTCACTTCTTGATGCTAGCTAGGGAAGCCAGTAAGAAAAGCTTACTCAGAGCACAGTTTGCTAACTGAAATGACTACGTCTCATTTTCCTTAAATCAGCCGGAAGAGTGCAGTGAAACCTGCTTGAAACAACCTCAAGGTGGACTGAGAAATCTGTAGATTGGGAGAGGTGGTCTGCATTATATTTTTCCCGAAAAAAAATTCTCTGTATGCCTTCTATGCTGCGAGGCAGTTCATTTTGTGCTCTGTCTGTGCACCCACGTTCAGATATTGAATGTTTTTTCATAAAACATACTCTCTTCTCTAAATTACAAAACGTTTGCATACTGTTTTCAGTGACCTTGTTCCCAAGTTCTAATTGCTTGTATGTATTAGAATAGTTAAAATTAATGAACAAAACTATATAAAAGCTGTAATTGGTTGTGATATTATTGGGGACTCAAAAAAAATAAGAGCTTAGAATTACTTTTTTTTTAATTTATTATAAATTAAATGCTTTCTAATGGTAGACCTTTCAGGAACCACAAATCACTGAAGGTCCTCTGTGTGCTTCTGTTAGCACACATCCTAATAGAAAATCACAAGTAAGCTCTCCTGGGTTTTAAAGGTTTTCCCCCTGTGCTCCCCTTTCCCTTCCCCTTTATCAGCACAAATTTCATACATATTAGCTATTCTTACGGTATTACTTGATTAGGTGCTAGTAAATTTTAACTTAGTGAAACTGCAGAAGGTTTATTATGTGCCTTGTCAGCTGGTATATAAATTGTTTGGATGTGGATTGCAGAAGCATTCAGTTTTGTTCACCTCATGTAACTATTCGTAATGGTTGTAATTTCCCTTTTCCTATTAGGGGCTAGAGGAGGGGGGCACACAGATCATGCACAACCCATATTTCTTAGTACACGTTTTGTTCATCAGTCTGTTATTAATGTAAATGAGCTGCTGTTACTGCTAGCAGGTATATATTCATACAGGCATGTTGGCTTACTGGAGTGATCCAGTGGGCCCCTGGCATACTCAGTTGGGGTTCCCTGGATGGAAGGGCAAACCCAGCTCCGTTTTCATAAGCAGAAATTGGTCTCCTGGCAACTTTCTGGTAGCTGTTCTGAAAGTCCCTACGTGGTCCCTTGTTCTATCTGATGTGGGGATATAATTCTGCAGCCTTTGTAAATAGCAGCCTCTCACGTTAAGTCTGGGTTGTAGGAGCTCTTGTTGATGCTGGTCTGTGTTGGTGGTCTTGGGCAGTTGGACCAGACTCCTGTGTCCTTAGTTTATCAGTTCTTGCAGGTCCAGTGGGATTACTGATATGCATCTCCAGTGCTTATCACTCCAGAGGAAACTGTTAGGCGCGCTTATCTCAGCACATACATTTCCTTCGTTCAGCTCGTTGTTTCTCTGGCGGCTGTGTCTCCATCCAGATGCCTGGGGAACCTCTTCACCAGAGGGGACCTGCAGGACATGATGCTGTATCTGATAACCGATAGGCTGTAAATTAGAACCACAGCTGCTTGTGTGATAGCTAATAACAGTAATTGGTAGCATGCCCTTGCCTTCCTCATTAGTAGCTAGCAATTTATTTGTTTACATTATTATTTTAATAATTTATTTACACTATCATTTGAATTCATTCCAATATGTGAATATATTAGCAACAGTTAAGATAGAAAGCAACAGTTTTGTTTCTGGTTGTATGATCAGGATGCAAAGGCCAACTAAAACATGAATTTATCACATCCAGTCTTGAGCTTGGCACAAATGTATGGATTTAAACCCACAGCTTTTATAAAAGAACCTTCTTGAGAGCATATTACTGTTTTGAAATTGCTGGATTGGGTTTATTGCAATAGTTTTTCATTTCTACTTAATAGCAAACCAGATTAAGTCTTGATTTTAATGTGTTTCCACAGGTATATCTTGAAAGACTTTTAACTTATGCAGAGATAGATATTTGTCCAGCGAACTGGAAGCGAATTGTACTGGGTGCAATTCTACTGGCATCCAAGGTTTGGGACGACCAGGCGGTGTGGAATGTGGATTACTGCCAGATCCTGAAAGATATCACAGTCGAAGACATGTGAGTCCAGTCTGTTTCTCTTTGTCAGCAAATGCCAAGATTTGTGTGTATGAGGGAGAGGGGAAGTTCTCTCATACCTTGTGTAAAGTTTGTGTGTCTGCCTTCCATCTGAACGTGGTGAATGCTGATAAATGGCATGAGGTCTACTAGAGAGTTGCTTACATAGAAAATGTGGACTTTTTTTTTTCTGGTTAAAATGTATTTTACTGCTGGGTGTTCACACAATTGTGAACCTGCAGAATATTGAAATCTATGACTTAACAAAAAAAAAAAAGAAAAAAAAAAGAAATGCAACTACTCTCTCTGTGAAGAACCCCTTCCTGATGTCCAGCCTAAACTTCCCCTGCCTCAGCTTAACTCCATTCCCGCGGGTCCTGCCGCTGGTGTTAGTGGAGAAAAGGTCTCCTGCCTCTCGACACCCCCTTACGAGGAAGTTGTAGACTGCGATGAGGTCTCCCCTCAGCCTCCTCTTCTCCAGGCTGAACAGGCCCAGTGCCCTCAGCCGTTCCTCATACGTCTTCCCCTCCAGGCCTTTCACCATCTTCGTAGCCCTCCTCTGGACACTCTCCAACAGTTTCATGTCCTTTTTATACTGTGGTGCCCAGAACTGCACACAGTACTCGAGGTGAGGCCGCACCAGCGCGGAGTAGAGCGGGACAATCACCTCCCTCGACCTACTAGCGATGCCGTGCTTGATGCACCCCAGGACACGGTTGGCCCTCCTGGCTGCCAGGGCACACTGCCGGCTCATATTCAACTTGTTGTCTACCACGACCCCCAGATCCCTCTCTTCTAGGCCGCTCTCCAGCGTCTCATCGCCCAGTCTGTACGTGCAGCCAGGGTTTCCCCGTCCCAGGTGCAGGACCCGGCACTTGCTCTTATTGAACTTCATGCGGTTGGCGATCGCCCAGCTCTCCAACCTATCCAGATCCCTCTGCAAGGCCTTTCCACCCTCATTCGAGTCCACAATGTTGGATAAGTCAGCTTGTCATCACTTCAGCAGCGTTTACTGTAATGTGTTAGTTCTCCTCACAGATGGTAGAACAATGTAATGCAGAAAAAAAATGTGTTCTGACCCTAACATCTCTTAGACAGCTACATGCTTCTTGCTGCCATTACTCAACCCTTAGATGATCACTCACTTATTGCTACCATTATTCAATAATTTTTTTTTTTTTAGTTTTTGTTTTTTTCTTCTTATATCCTGCTGAGCTTGTTTGCAGGATTAAAAAATACGTAGTATTTTAACTTGCAGAGAGAAACTTCTTGTGGATAACTTTTTCCATTTTTTACACGATGGCATTATTAAAAACACGTACAGCTTTATAGTGGCTGTCTGGATACTCCCCAGTCATTTTAAGAGAATATTCCAACAGTAATAAAAGAAAATACGATGAGAGTAAACAATTAAGGTCTTAATATTTACAAATACTAAAACAAATGCTTATTCTACTAAATAGTTGAGTGCTCTTTTAGTTGATTGATCAGTAGTTATTAGACGTATTTGCTAAAGTGTCTGGGTTTCATGACATCTATACATTGAGTGCTCAGTCACGTACCTTGCATGCATTTAGAGGTGTCCTCATCTGAGTTAATGTGCATGTAAGAGCAGTGCTGCAATGGGTGAAGTTGGAATCATGGCATGAAGTTGGAATCATAAAAACACTATTTACATTTATTGATATTTATCTTTATTTTATATTTATGTTGTTGCTACACAGTATTTAGGGAAGAGGAAAGAAAGGAAGTAAACAAGAAAAAATGTTTATAGCTGCATGCCTTTTGAATCTCAGTTTGCAATCTCAAAGCAGTGAAAGGCCAAGCATTTATGCTATAGCAGCCCTAAATCCATTTCTTAATAGTTCACTGTTTGTCAGATTTATAGCAGGTCTAAAAATTATCAGTAAGGAAAATGTTCTAAGTAGCAAGTCAGCTGACTTTAAAACTAAGCATGCTTATACACTTCTAGACTAACCTGCAGACTTGTGAGTAGCTGTTACTTCTTGACTATTAGAAAAGTTATCTCTAAGCTTGTATTAACAAGCTATTTGTAATACGTTCTTCATTTTGTGTACAAAGGTTAAAAAAAAAAAACAAAAAACCACAGCCTTCATTGCTATGGTACACTGTAGGTACTTTTATTAGTTTTGGGGAAAACTCATTTCAAAACAGAACTTGGAAATGTCACATGATAACTATTTCAGTATCTTTTAAAATATAAATGTTACTTTTAAGGATAGTTGATGATGCTTCTCTTCCAACATAACCAAACAGAATGAAATTTCTAAAATAAAATGGGGAGGAGTGAGCAGGGAGAAGCTGAGATCAGGCCCTCTGCATTTCTGTATGCAGTTTTGCTCCATGCAGAACAATTTGATAACATTTCCTTGACTGTTCTGGGTGTTCCCTGACTGATTTTGCGGAGATATTTTCCCTTGATCCTTTTCTCATGCTTTTGGGGATTCGGTTACAATAAGGGTCTCCCTCCATTACCTCTTTATTCAAGGCAAATCTGAGTGCTTTTAGAATATTTTTGAAGCTGGGATATCAGCTAAAGTAGAGTTCTGAACAGCTTGAAGCTGATCGACAGGTTTGGCTGTGCCATATGACAGTATTAATCAAGAATGGTTATAAATAAGAGTTTTGAAATCGCTGATTCTCATGGCTCTTTTTGAAGGCAGGTGAAGAGGCATGCTGTGATGGTGTGAAAGGAACAACAAAAAAAGAGGTTATTGCTTTTGACAAACACATGCGATGGTACTGTTAGAAGTTGCACTTCAGCTATATAAAACCATTACTCAAATGGCAGACCTGGGCTCACGTGCTGACATCCGTCCTCTTTCTGCGCTTCACACTCTCTAAACAGAACTGTGATAAGTCCTTGGCCTCAAAGCTTTTAGCCTTTTCTTAAAGATATTGTGGTTCTCACAAAATGAGAAAAACAGAAGCCTTTTTAGGGGCTTGTGCTATCTTTCTGTATGGTACTTTATGATCTGTTTTGTGGCCTTTGTGTTTGGGGCTCCTTGCGAATCCTCCAGCAAAGAATCGGGTCCTTGCTGAATTGCTGATGTTTTTATTCCCGCTGACCATTTTTCCAAACTTTTTTTTCCTATTCCAGTGAGGGTGGATTTTCCCTCTCTTTCAGGTAGTTGGGATGATACAATGTTATGATTTTGAAGAGCCCTGATCTACATTATTTATAGTAATAAGGCAGAAGAACTCTAGGTCTAAATCTTCAACTCCTGTGAATCATTACTCATGAATGTTTCTTGGAAAACCTCATGCAGACCTTTCAGAGTTTTATAAATCATCAACAGTGTGTTGAAGTACACCCAAAAGTTAGCAGAGGACTTAGGAGGACTGACCTGTATGTCTGTAGTTATTTATATAGCATTGTCTTGAATTTCTATCTGAATTTGAGGGGTGGCCACAGGAAAACATGTAGTAAAGCAGTCTCATATGGAAATATCAGGAGCAAAGGCTATGGTGCCTAGTTATATTAGTTCAAATCAGAAATACCTGTGGGCTTTTTGTTGTTGTTCTTTCTCAGCTGTAGTTGACCTGTTAATCTAATTTTTAAATCTGGGAGCTAAGGTACAGTAAGAATCTGAGGCTGTTTAATGTTTCTGAAAGATTTGGGGATCTTCCTCAGTAGAAGTACAGTCAATATGTTTCTCTATTAAAATAGGCTTTATATTATTCATTATCGTACACCTTAGCTTGCAGAAAACAAAATATTACAAGTATAAAAGGATGTTTAAAAATAATCTATATATTATCACTAGACTTCTTAAAACTTAAATTTCGTTAACTGGGTTTTTGAAAAGCTAGAATCTTCAACAGTGTGAATTCATGCCAAGGAGTCCATATATGACTTTTGGATGGTTTTCTAGTATTGATTAATACTTATCGCTATGTACACAGAGTGATTTTTGACAAGGGATAGGATTTTGACAAAGAAAGTGAAGATAAGGGAAGAAAGTTATTACGATGCAAGCAAGATGGCCTTCCAGTAAGAAGTGAGAAAAAGAAAAATCAGTGTTGAAAAACTGCTATACTTCTTATCCTCAGAACCTCCCTTTTCTGTTGGCAACTGCCTGCACGTTCCTTGTGCACATACGCGGCAGGCAGTGTGTAACTTGACTGCAGTATCATAGTCAAGCTGTACCTGTTGGTTACGAAGCTGTGCAGCCCATATTCTCTTCAGGAAATGTACAAAATTCCCACCCATTTATTTTTTATTTCTCCTGTCTTGAAATCACTGTTTTGGCTATATCATATGTCCTTGTGTATGTATTGTGTAGGAGAATATCTAGGTACTATACAATTTATGAAAGCTGCAAATTTATTTTTTTTATTTACCTATTTATTTACATGCTTTTTACTGTACCGTTACGGGTAGTAATGTATTGATGTAGCAAAGTATTCATGGAGTGGGAGCTCACATAGGGCCTCTGGTTCTATCAGGGATTTTGAAAAACACATTTGTTTTAGGTACTGAAAAACAAATGATGAACAATGTGAATTTTGCTTGCATGTCCTAGGGAAAAATTGCTATATTCTGTTCATCAGCATAGATAGATGGTGTGCTGAAGAAACCAGGTTTCTCACATCTAGTTTTACATGATTGATTCCGAAAGGCAAAAGAGAATAAATAAGTTATCTATTTTTTTTTTATGTTAGGGTAATTTGCAGCAGTTATGAGAGATGTCTGGCAAATTTAGGGCATGTCTGTGTGTTTCATGTTTGCATAGCTGTGTGTGCAGATCCACCTAGTGGAGGTACAGCAAAAACTACAAGAATTTTTTTTCCTACTAGCTTTTCCTTTCCCAGATTGCATTAACTAAACTAAGGGGCTCTTCTGCTCACAAAAGTTTGTGTCTGGGTTTGATTGGCACAGCAGTAGCAGCTGCAAGCTGCAGCAACTTTCATATTCCTCGCTGATGTACACGTGCTCACAGAAGTTGGTAGACGAAGTCAAACTTTAGGCTAGGATAATTGTGTCTGACAGGAGTAAGAAATGAACTTGGTTTGTACTATTTGCAATTTAAAGTAAATTACATTAAGGATGCACAGCCTGAAAAATTTTTTCACATTTATCTTCTTTCTACAGGAATGAGCTGGAACGCCAGTTTCTTGAGCTGTTGCAGTTCAATATTAATGTTCCCTCCAGTGTTTATGCCAAGTATTATTTTGATTTGCGTTCCCTGGCAGAAGCGAATAACCTGAGTTTTCCTTTGGAGCCCCTCAGCAGGGACAGGGCATGTAAACTTGAGGTAAGACACTTTTCTTTTTAGATTGAACAGAACTGAATATATATATACTCATATATTTATGAGCATATATATGAGTATTTTATATATATATATAAGCATTTGGAATTTTTGCAGTATATTTCCCTTCTCGTTCCATCTCTTCCCAGATATTCCAATATAATGTTAGGAGGTGCCCCAATATCCATAACTGTTTTACTTGTGCTTTAGGTATTTATGGATATGGGGGCAGTTTTCTGGCCCAATCTGTTTCATATCTGGTATTGCTTTCCATTTCTTTCAGTTCTAATTGTTGAAATTGGCCTTGTGAAAGTACAAATTTTAAAATAACTCAGTTTTCAGTCTGGTTTTGTGTGTTCTTAAGACTAACTGTGCAGGACAGAGTATTAACAAGGATTGCTGAAAATAACTATTCTGTGTGCTTGTTACCTGTTACTGCTGTATTTCACGTGAATCCAAGTCTGTCATCTCAGCAGTATCATTCTCAGTAACAGGACAGAAATGAGCACACCATTACTGGATGAATCGTGAATATTTAGGAGACCTACATATGCCATGTGCATAAACCACTATGTCAAGTAGTCTGGACCTGTGGAATGCAGGGCACTATGAATTCCCACAGACTCTGGAAGAATTTAAAATCATCAGGCAGTATTGGATACTTTACAGGACTAGAATCTTTTTTTTTCTTGATTTTTTTTTTAGATGAAGTTTTTTGCATATAGGCATTCTTGCCTGAGTATGTACACATACTGTTCCTAATTTTGAAGTCTGCTGTTAGCTGCTAACTGCCTTTAACATTGGATGCCTTTAATTAAATAACAGCTTTATGCTGTAAGTTGTTTATCTGTGGAATAGAGCGAGTGTTGCATGTTTTGAAACTCTTACTGTTCCTGCAAAACAGTTTTTGTGGGGGAAATGATGCATGGGAAGATGAATTAACTTGTTTGCAGCTGTAATGGGAACAGAGGTATCTGGAAACTGGTGGAGAAACAATTGAAGCAGATTTCACTAAATTGTATTTCTTCTTTCTAAAGATTCTTTCTAAATTTCCCAAACATTCCTAATAAGAATGTTATTTAATCTTTGTATGAAGTGTAACGTAAATTTGCATCAGGTTTTGTCTGTATTAAGGAGTCAGAGTAATAAAATATGAAAATTCATTGGGAATGTAATGAAAAGAGGTGGCTTGCTAAGTTATTAGATGTTAGGTCTTGATAATTATTGCCATTACATATATTAAATTTAAATTAATTACTTTTTGAATAGAACTTAATATTTCTGAACCCTTTCAGTGAGTTACGAATGAAGGTAATGAAGGTAGCTCCTAAAACCATGGAAGAAAAAATATAAAATGGCTTTAAATACACAGAGAATACTGGTGGTTATTCTGAACTAACTAAAGAGAATGCATATTTATAAAGAAACAATGGAATATTTTTAAAGTAAATCCACATTATTAAAAGTTCTCCCATGGTAGGGATGGTTTGTGCTGCTAGCGCGAGGTAGCAGTAAAGTAACTGCTAGCCAGAGGGAGCCTCTGCAAGGAAGAGTCTCTGCTGTGAAAACACTGTGGTCTTAACCAGCTCCTTGCCTCTGCTCTGTGGCCCCAAGGAAGGGAACTCGATGAGAGCTGCCTTGTTCCCTGGTAATATTGGTTGTCATTAGTATACCCTTGGAAGTAGCTGACAGCATAATTTATTGCCTAATTCCATGAGCACAGTTAAGCATAGAGCTTGCCAAGAGTTATCAAAATGCATTTACAAAACTTTTCCAGGTCTATCATGTGCTTCTCAGCCCCGAGTTCTCTATTTTTGAAACTGAGAGAAAAGCTGCAGGCTGTGGTTAAAGACAGCAGACTCGCAGTAAATGTACATATGCAGAGGAATGATTTGCCATGCCTGGTAAATTGAAGGGACTTTGCTCAGTTCTAAGATTTACTTACTGACATTTGATATCACAAAAGGTCTTGTGTAAAGAGGTGTTTATATTATAAAGCATTTTTGCTATATTTGCATTTTACAGCTGCCATAAATCTGAAGGCAAGAGTATCAGAGCTTTCATGGCAGAATCTCTGTGTTGCTATTTATCAACATGTTGATTTACCTGTGACCAAAAAAAAGGCAAGGCAAGGCTGGGAAATACTGCTGCTTGTCAAATGGTGATGCTTGAGAAGATCCATCAGATTTGAGATGCTACAAGAGGCTTAGCCGGTGGCCTAAAAGTGTCCCGAATTTGTTATACAAGTCCAACTAGTCGTCAGGAACCATTTTTGTGTCGCCCCTTTCTTTTTTTTTTTTCATTGTATGAAATCATGCAAGTTAAAAATGGCACACAGCCTTTCATTAGATCATGCAGTCTGTTCACCTGCCAATGCTCCTTGTTCAGAACAGCACATCTTCCAGGGCGTTTTCTCCTTGCTTCTAATTGTGTCAAATGTCAAGGTTTCCTTTGCTTCTCCTGAGAAATTATTTTCTAACGTGGGAGATATTTCTGCCAAGAAGATTGTCAGATATCCAACCTTAATCCGCTGTTTTGTAATTTCCTACTTGTGCACCTGGTTTTTGTCCCATGTACTGAGCTAAATGTGACTCAGATCCTGCTCTTTCGGTAAGTCCACAAAACATGCCTACCCTATTTCTGCTTGTGATCTTAGCACTGTACTCGTTTCCAGACTAGATTTTTGTAAGAGCATTCGTTAGTGCACTCTCAGTGTATTGGGCTGTGTTGTCTCAGCTTTTTATTATTAGGATAGTGCTTGAGGAATAACTCTTTGAACTACGTGCTGTATTTTCTTGACCCTAAAGAGGGTACCATCCTATAGATCAGACAGATAAAAAGAGGAGGGAAAGATGTAAGTTACAAGTAGAGAAGTGTCTTTGTATCCCTCTGGCTTCCTGCTGTTGCAGTGGCTGATTGCAGCCCTGCATGTGCTGTGTGTTCAGAACCTGTGTGTTCGTAGCTAAAAGGCAGAGGGAGAGCAAAAACTCCTCTGATTTTTCTGTCAGTAGTAAAGTGATTGTTTTTCTTTTCATTCTCCATAAGTTAGGGAGAACCCCCTTCATCACAGCTTCCTGTCATTTGTATTTTTACATAGTCTATCCAGACTCAGTTTTGCCTCTCCCTGCAAAGTTGTCTCTGGATTGTCTTTTAGGGAGCATTGCAGCCTTCACAGCTGAGTGCATTTGTGCATTTCCAGCATTGAAGCTAAAATCAGCACTCCTGTTTTCCTGCCCTGCACAATGATGTCCATGCAGGCAAGATTTATCCTACTGCTGCCTGTCTCCCCTGTCCCTTCTCCTCATCAGCCCCCTTGGGTAGCGACAATCTTCTCTAGATCCATGCAACTCAGTGGAGGAATTGACTTCCAGTTCTGTGTGTACATATATCATGAAGAAAATATGTTATGTGTATTTCTAGCTAATTACAGATATTACAATCAAGTCTCCCTAAAATTTCCGATAATGTAATGGTGTTTTTCACAATGCTTTGATTTGGTTTCATTAGAGAAAAGGTCCCTTGCACCAGTCAAAAATTAATTTCTTCTTCTGGCTTTCAGAGCAACATGTACCAGATGACGTAAAGGTGTTACAAGCTACTTGTTTTTATTTTAACTGAAAGGCAGTAGTAAATAATTACAATTTTCTGCTTTTGTCTTATTTCTCCATATGTTCCAAGATGCTATAGTTGACTTGTCAAATAGGCTCCAGACGTCGGGTTTATGAATTAGTTGCAAATGAAGTGGCTTTAAACCGCAGTCAGTGGGCTTCATATCTACATGAGTAATCACCGGGACTGGAGTTGCCAAATATTAGGTGCCACTTCCAAGCAAAATTTCATTTTGTCTGACTGAGTGCCAGAACAGGGATTTTGCTGTGAAACAGGCAATTTTGTAGTGATTACTTTCCCTGTTTAATGCCTACGATAGCAGGCGGGTTTGGCAGCTGCAGGAAGCTGACCTCCTCCTCTGAACACCTGTTTGCCAAGCCACACCTTGGCACATCATCCCGTGATCGAGCTGTTTTCATCTACTGGATTTAAAATCCACTTGAACTGCATAAACATTCTTAGTGCACTGAGTTCCTGGTTACGTTAAATAAAATATTACTAGGCAGTTTTGAGTGAGTTGAGTTATGGTCTACAAAGCAACAGGAATATTTGTGTTACTTTATTCTGTGCTCTTCTTGAGGACTAAGAAAGTTCAAGAATGGTCATAGCAAAAGGAAATTCAGTTTCCAACTGAAATAGTAGCAACTAGTTTCCAGGTGGTTTTCTTTCTTTGTTTTAATTTTTAATGTTTTGTGGCTGGCTGGAACAAAGCATTAGGTGAACTCGCTTATAGAGGCATGAGTTGGGTGCTGCTGTCAAAACTGCCTCTGATCTTTGCAGCACTGTTCACTCCTACAACTTGCTGTGCTGTAGAAGTAAAAATCAAGAAAAAGCATGATGCTCGGAGTCAGGGCTTTTTATTTATATTGCCTTCTTTTATAATCAAACCCTTGTACTGTTACTGTTTGTGCCGTAGTTTTTATTAAACAAGCTATCTTAAGGTACCACTTAAAAGCATTCCAGAGTAAATACAAATACTGTTTTCCTTCATCTCGTTTTCTAAGTTGGCTTGAGTACTCCTTGGAACGACCTTTCTCTGCAGCTCTGTGTGTTTAAACGCCAGAGTTAATGTCCCTACTGATGGAAACCATAGCCTGCCCCAACCATATGAATGCTTAGAGTTGAGTTATGTACGGCACATGATCTGCATTTGTTTTAAACTTGGCTATAAAAAAGTAGGAACCTAAAAATGTTAACTCCAGTGTAGTTTGGTAAGTCTCAAAATTTGAATTATCTTTGCATCTCTCTTTAAAAAGGTTTTTAACATTTCTCTGTATTTTGAATGCTAATAAGGTTAATCTTGATATGAGTGAAATTTCCCACAAGCAGTTTAATAGAGCCTGTTCACATAGAAATCACCATCTCCTGCCATTAGGTTTCTTCAGAAATGCAGGAAGACATCATCTGCATGAGCAAAGCAGGGCAAGTATTCTGACAGACCTTTTAAAACTGGAGGAAAACATATTTGCTAAGAGACTTCTCTTCCCAAACTGAATATGCTGACAATTTCTGTAATTGTTCTACGAACTTTTCCATATTTTTTCACCCATAAAGTTCTCTATTGATGTTACAGCAGTGGGTAAGTGTTGTCAGATACCTTGACTAGATTTGCAATGGTTAACCTCTAAAGAAAAGGCTTGGCATACGCGTACTGAAACCTTCAAAAGCAAATAAGGTAGGAAATGCAATGGCAATGTGTTGAGTATTTTAAGATTAATGAAACTAATAAGAGAATTTGTTCTTCACATGCTTTGTTTAATGAAGTACCATTTTGTAATTCTGCCTATATAGAAATCCACATTTAGTTCCCTATTACTTGTACAGCTGTGGCCACTGTAACTGAGGTTTCTTCCTTCTCTCATGTTCCAGGCCATTTCCCGCTTGTGTGAAGATAAATACAAGGACTTCAGGAAATCTGCAAAGAAACGGTCAGTCAGTGCTGACAATCTGACTGTGGTTAGATGGTCGCCTGCTATTATCTCCTAACAGAGGAGACTGGAATATTCCCACGGACGTACTGTTTCATCCATCCAATTTTTTTCGGGGTGGGTTGGGGGGAAAAAAAGAAAAAAGACTTTTGATTTTTTTATTTTTGAATCTGTCGAGCTGCCTTTACAGTGCCTCCCCATTGTGTAGCACACGAGCAAAATACCTAGCGGAAGCTGAAATGGAGAAGTCAAGTGTTTGGGATAGAAGATGGGCAACAATCTTTTTCTCACATTCACTAACAGCTTTACCCTTTCTATGAGGAAAGAGCAAATCAGGTGCTTGGAAGAAGAAACAACAAACGAAGTAGAGGCAGACAAATATTTAAGAACTGTGCCATTTTCCAATATGCTGTACTTTGAAGAGAAATGAACCGTGTAGTCAGATGACTGTGCACTAGAGGAGTGACTTTGGAGAGTTCCATCTTAAAGGTTTCTCTTAATACCTTTCTCAGTTTTTCTTTTTGCATTCCTCATTGCTGCTTCCCAGGATAAATTCTTCCCCTTGCACAGCAGCAAATACCAAGTCTGTATTAACAGTAGCACAAGCCCCTGGATAAATAGTGTTGTTTTTTTTCACTGCACTTTTCTCTGTAAGCTGTCTTATTAGCATTATTCTCCATAATTATTATGCATATGTTATATTTCTTGTATGCCTTTTATTGTATTTCAAAAGAGAGAACTTGACCATAGTGCTGAACCAAAAGCATGTACAGGGATCAGAAGATCGTTCGTAATTTCATGATGTGTTTTATTTATAGTATACTTGGGTGCGTGTGCCTTCCTGAGTTCTTGGAATCACTTCTTTTTCCTTAATGTAAAGATACAGTTATTAATGTATTCAGACGATGATGATGATAAGACTTGGGCCAAATCTCTGAAATTTGCAACAGATCTTGTGATCCTTTTTGCAGATTTTCATAGCATTAGAAGTTTAGCAGAATTCATTTTGAGAAAGCTTTTTTTTTTTTGTATGGCCTGACTAGTTCATTCCTTCACCTCCAGGTCCATTGTTGCAAGCAATATTCTCAATTTTTATATGTTTACTTTAAATCAAAGTGAGTCTGTTTGTAAAAAATAAAAAATAATTAAAAAAAATGTTCCAGTGAGAAGACCTGTAGAGAGCAGAAGGAAAATCTTAAGGTATTTGTCACAAGTAGATTTTATTTTGAAGCTAAAATACAAACCCTCTTTTATTTTATTTTGTTTAGCGTAGGTGCTTTTAGAAATTAAAAATAACCAAACTGTGAACATAATTTTCAACTCTGATTATTAAGCTCTTCTGTTGCTGTTACTAGTTCCCTCTTACTGTGGCTGTTGCCCCCTTGGGACCTGTAAGAACCTTTTATAGAAAAATAATTTGTCAATATAAGCATATTCGCTTTATAGTGCCCCAGGGTGATTTTTTCCCTTTTTTTGCACAGTTCAGAAAGATACGGTTGGAAACTCTCAGTTCTCTGAAACCCTTTCTTTGTGACTACCACTGAAATGAGTGGCAACAGACGTCCCTGATTTATGCACTACTGTGGTAAACCATAATGATTCCATATTTGTTTTATTAAGCCCTATGGGCTTGTAGCAAACCTAGGGGCCCAGAGATGCACGCTTCCCTTCAGTGCAATGGGAATCAGATGCCTCCAGATGGAGGGGTGCTGACAGGATTGAAGTAGTAATACCAAACAGTTTTGTGTTAACTTTCTAATGTGATCTGTGTAGTTTGAGACATGAAGGTTTTGTCCGTAAATTCTCCTGATGTCCTTTGGGCCTTTCAGATATCTAATTCTCATCATTGTTGTGCCAATGCATCAGAACTGTGAGCATCCAAGTCCATTTTTCCCTTGAACGTGGAATGTAAGGAAAGTCTTTATAACAATACGAATGCAAATCAGAGCATTTGAAACCTCTTTACAGATAATATCAAAAGTAACATTTTCAACGCATTTGAAATTCATCCTTTATAAGCATAAATTTAGGCTTTAAAATATGTAAAATATTTTGATTTATCAACACTTTGCTAAACTATTTTCCATTAACTTGATATCAGGAATATTGGTTTTATCCATTTCTGGGTGATAGAGATATGAACCTTGGATTATGTAAAGATCTCAATGCATCTACTATAATTTTTGTGAAGTTTATTAAACTACTTTAAAGATTGTATAGTCTATTTATTGTATGTATGTACATACAGTCTGATACTTTAAAAAGTGGATTCCGTAAAACCTGGCTCAGTCTTGTTTAGACTATTGAATATCGTTTTAGCCTTGTGCACTGGACTCTACCTCTGTATAGGAGAATTTTCCATATTCTTAATTAGTACTGATTCTGTGATTAACTTGGTTATGTTTCTTGCACTAAGAATTAAAAAGAAAAAAAATCTGCTGTAAGTGTGGATTTTTTCTTTAGTTCAAGCTCTGTTGTATGAATCCTCTACATTTAAATGGAGTTTTCTTTCCCTCATGGTTATAAAATAATTCATTGTTTTTTCTTCTGGTTTGTTCCAAGTTTGCCAAAAAAAAATACACACATATATATATATGTATATATATAGTACCTTACAGTAAATCTGAATAAGTGTCGTTTGTTTGCAAGGTACTCTATACCATGTAATTAAAAATGAATTATTATTTAGGATTTTTGCACTTAGTGTACGTTTTTTTTAAGCGTTACTGTATGGAAAACGCCATTGCAAGATTAGAGAACCACCCAGGGTGTGAGAACAAGAGGAGAACCAATAGCATTTTCATTAACAGCACAAATAAATTGTGGTTTTCATTTCAGAACCTGAAACGAAATTTGCTGTAAATGTTTTCTGGATTAAGGTTTTCATTATGGCTTTGGTCACCAGCTCAAAAGCAAAAAGGTGTAATAAACCTGTCCCTTCAAGCATCGTTGTCTTAATGAATTGTTTTTTCTATGTTGAGCCAGTGGGCCGTTAGTTTTGTTGCTTATGTATTGATAATTGGATAAACATTTGAAAAATGTGTCTTGTAAGGGTTTTTATTCATGCATCATTCTTGAGACCTAAGATTTTTCCCTAATTCCTCTTCCCATTTGTAGACTTGTTTGTATTTCAATTTATGTTTATATTTCTTTTTTTTTTTTGGTCATCTATTTACATCCTTTTGATGGACACCGTTCTTTGGGACCAAGAACATCGGAGTCACGTGCTATAGTACAGAAAGAAAAATGTCAAAAAGCCTTTTCCCCCTTCCACAAACCCTATCCATCTTTTTGAATGATACACATTTTCACTTGCTAAAAACATGCAAAATCCTTTCTGATAGCAGGGTAATAGGTTCTTTTTCAATAATTGTGGATTTTTAATTTACTTTTCAGCTTTTTTTTTTTTTTTGATGGTGGTGGGGTCAGCATATGTAGCTTCATTTACCTTCGCTTATTTAGCTTAGTTTGTCATGTAAACTAAACACAGGATGGGAGAACTGTTTATGTATTTATGGAGTCTTAGTTCAGACTTTGTTTTTTAACACCTCTTTCTCTATTTCCCAGCTTTGTTAATGCCAGAAACCTCAGATACAAACTAAAGATGAGAAGTAGCAAAAGCCTCATCAGAAAAGGGTGATAGTGTATTGGTGGCAGATGACAAAATGACATCTGGTAGTGTTGGCTGTGCATAAAAATAGCAGAATGTGGGAGGGGATAGAAGAATTGAAATGACAGAACAGAAACAAAAAACAAACAAACAAAAACCCCAAAGCCTTAACAGCTGAAGCAACAAATTATTTACAGCCATTCTTTGTTGGTAATGAGCATTTCATTTTCCAGTGGCATGTTTAAACTGCTAATTGAAATGCTGTGCATCCACTGCAGGCTCATATAGTGCTCCGCTTCTGTGGGGTGTTTATGAAGAATTTACTTGACCTAGCTTTCAGCAATTCCTCGCTACTGTTGCAAACACACGTCTATAAGCTGATTTTTATTTATTTTTATAGCTTGAATCTGTAGTTGTTGAAAACACCTTCCTACTTCTGCAGTGGAGTGTCTACTTAGTGTCTCTGACAGGTTCTGAGAAAACATCTCAAAGGTAAACACAAGCATATCTGTGTGCATGTGACCTAGATCTTCATGGAAAATGTTAGTATCAGCACCTAAAGTGTGCAGTAAGTATGCTTCTGCTGCTTGTTTTTTTTTTTTTCTCCTTGCCAACTGAACTGCAGCCTGAGGAAACCACAGAAGTGATGAGAGGTAGAGTTGCAGTAGACTACTACAGGTAATGATAGAAGACACATTGCAACCACTGGTAGGAGAAGATGCTTTTAAAAAGGAAGCAAGGTTAAGAAGAAAAGCTGATGATGATAACGATAGTTTTACAGTGTATGCTTTTCTGAGCCCTGTTTTTAAGAATCTCAAAGAAGTGACTGGTGAATCCCAGAAGCACATCTTGAAAATGACTGAATGTGTTAGCCAAGAAGGAAAGGCTTGGCTTTACTTCTGTGGTCTGGGCTTAGGTCATCAGACACTCATTAAAAAAAGAAGTGACCAGGAGGCAGATTCAAGAAAGGCAGGGGACAGCAGCACAGATAGGCTCTTTTGTATTCCTTTTAGAGTGCTTGGTCTGATGCAATTTGATGCCTAGATAAAAGGAGAGTGCCTTTTTTTGTACCTCTTACAGCATGTGTAATATGTTTCAGCAATATTGGGGCAACTTTAAACTGGTATTAACTGGAGATACTCGCTGGTGAATGTATGTTCAGGAAGCTGCTTGGTCTTGTGATAGGTGACCGTATACCTGGGTTTCCCATATGAGTTATCCAGAATCTCTACAGACTTTGTAAAGCTCACTCAAGGCTCTGGGCAGTATCTTTTGTGAAGATGTCAATGGTCTCCACAGTTTGAGAGCAGAACATAATAAAATGTCAAAAATTGTATTTTTCCAACTTCCTGGCTTTCTCAATGTACCTATGTAATCTAGTTCATGAACACTTTTTTCTTGTGTCTCTGGGACGTAGATCGCGGTGCTGCAGTAACCACTGCAATAAAGCTTTGTAGCTACACGGCCTGGCACTGCTGCCCTCTCGGGAGTCCCTGGCAGCAAAGCACCTTCTGAGGACGTGACACCGAGTGCTCCACTAAACTGGGCGCTGGAATGAGACACCTTTGTGTAAGAGATTCTGCAGCTCACTGGGAGTCTAAAGCTAATTCTTCTCTATCTGTGTGTTTTCTTGCTTCATTGCCTCCTGGTTTTCATGCCCCTTTATTTTAAACATTAGTACAAATTATTCTCCATGGAAACAGTATCTTGGGAACTGGCAGATGTGATGCACTTGCTGCCTTATATTTAAACAATACAGGTGATACTGTGACCAATACTTCTGCTTCATGTCTTTCAGGCAAACTACGCGTTCTTCTATGGAAACAGGAGAGGTCAAAAAGATGGAGATGGGAGTGCTAGAAGTGTTAGGAGGCAGAAATAGGTGTGGGCAGTTTTAAAATGATCTAAGAAATACAGATGGGCAAATTTATCTGTATCTTCTACAGTGCAGATCCCACAAGGTATTTATGATTCTTTAACTTGATAAATTTCTCACGCAAGGAGTTCAAGGGGTAAAATTGTCTCCCTTAAAATGCACAGGATATGCAGATTGTATTTCCACAAATCCTAGGAGGACGAAGACCATGTTAGACTAAGAAAAATGGCATGGAAAAACACGTATCTACACATATTTTGCTTTAAAATTGTAGCATTACCTTGGTGTTGGTGCTGACGTGCAACCTGCCACTGTTAGGAAGGTGTTGGTAGTCACCTTGCCTGGGATATTGCATCCTGTACCTTTTGAGGCCTTAAAGTAAAGGTAATCCTGTGGATACTTTGTCATGTACTAGAATATAATCAAGAATGTTTGGAACTAGACTTTAAAAAACAATGCAGAGTAGTTCCTGTTAAAAACAAAAGTTACTGTGGATAATTCATCAGTGCTGTGGGGTATCATCACTATAAGCATTGTGTGAAGGGAGGGGTAAAGAAAGTCTCCTGTTTGCAGCACTGCTCAATAGATGACAATGACACTTTTGAAATCACGGGGTGGGAGTGTAAGGAGAATTACACAGCCTCTCCTTGCCCCTCCACCCCCATCCTTTTTTTATAGTTACAGTAATTCTGCATTAGCATTATCGTACTTGTGAGCAGAGATGGGAAATTGTTACTTCGTATGTAGGCACTGAAAAAGAGTGAGAATGATTTAAAAATCTAAATCACCACTGGCATTCATAACTTAAATATTTAACTTATGACTGCCAATAAGTATGCACCTTATATTTTACCACAGGAATGCCTCCACGGTTTGCTTGTATAATGGTGCTTTACAGGGTACAGATATTAAATCTGTCCTCAAATAAACTAGAGGGATGATTTGTGCATCCTAGGAAAATAGTTGGTTATATCTTCAACATTTTTGAAAACGATCTGGTAGAAGTCTTCCAGATCTGCTTGTATTTAATGCTTCGGATCAATGATTTCTTCAGCTGGACAGAAATAAGTGCTTGAAAGTTTAAAGCAGTGGTGTTGACTTCATGCAGAGAAATTAGGTTGGCGGATCTGGCACCCTGACACTGAGCCTGAATGTTGGAGCCAGCAAACTTGTCGTCCTGCTTCTTCTGCATCCCCATTTAATGGTGAAACCACTGCTGAATCCCATTGACAACATGTGCAGTGTTTCTGACCTGTGAGAAAGCTAGACTATTAAATCATAGCTTCTCTTTGGTGGCCTGTCACTGCAGTACACCAGAAGGGCTTGTATTCTGCTCAGCTCCCCTGGCAGGTGTCAGACGGAGGAGGTTCTGCTCCTCCAAGCATGCAGACGGTCAGTGTGCACCGGCCAGGTCTGCATACTTGGATCCCTGGTCCCAGCTGCAACAGCTTAGCTTCTGCACAGGAATTTCCTTAGAAAAAAAGAAACCAGTGCAAAAAAAAATTGCAAATCTCGTATGAAATACATAGATTCCAAACAACCATCTAATTTTCCCATTTCAGATTTTTTTATATTTTTAATTTCAGGCATAAGCTGAATTCTTGACAATTTCAGTGTGCGTGTGCGAGCATCTATTTTTGATATTAATTGCATTAGAGAAGGAATTTGCATAGCAGTTGGTAATATAAAAAGCATTATTTTAAGTGTCATCTGAACCTGTTGTTTGCTTCCCTGGAGAACGCACTTGTCTGGACTCTTCAGCTTACTAAAAATAGGTAAACAGAATGATACAAGAGCCTATTTTTTGGATCTGTCCCCTTTGTAACACAATCAGTAAATTTTTACAAATTATGGTATGCACTGTAAGCTTCAGAGGACTTGGGGGTGGGAGGGACAGAAAATTGAAATTTTAATTTCTTCAGCAGACTGTGTTATTGGTTAGTTTTCCTCAGTGTTTTTTCTTCAGTTTGTTTCCACTGCGGAACATATTCTGTTCTCCTGACTTCAGTCCTTTGGGATTAGCACAAACCCCCTACAGCCCCATCAACCCTTTCTAAGCCTCGTGGTGCCCTCATGAAGAAGCCAGGCTGAAGTGTGACATGAAGGCGAGTGGGGCAAGGGGAAGCCCATGGGCTCCACTCCAGCATCTGGGCCCTGGCAGCTGAGGGAGAGGCCAAGCTGTCCACGACCACTACACCAAAAATCCTTCCCAGCTCCCTCTCTTGGGCGTTGAAAACATCCAGTTCTGAAGATATGCCCTGTTTGTGTTAGTACATGAAGTGCTTAGAAGAAAGGGCTTCATTACGCAGCCCTGGTGTGCCTCAGGCCTAGCCCGGATTTGCGGCTGTTTCTCTCTGTCGTGGTACAGAGGCCCCGCCATGCCCTGTTCTGTGTAGGACAGGCTCTCGAGGTGCCCAAAGCCTTTGGCTGAGGGTCACGGTGGTTTCACACAGACCTGAG